CAAGAGTGGTATTGCTGGATCAAACGGTAGATCAATGTTTAGCTTTTTAAGTAGCTTCCAAATTTTTTTCCAGAGTGGTTGTACTAGTTTACATTCGAGTGGGCATATTTCATGCCAGGTATTAGACATGTCATTTAGTGACAACTCCTCCTGGCAGGGGCCATCACCACATTTATTTAGTGCTCAGAGAGGGTCACACGCTGAGCAGTAGAGCCCTTCTTGCTGCTTCAAGCAACAGACTGCCACCTTGCCCATCCTTGGGATCCCATTGGCCCACACATCTCAGTGTCAGCTTGCTGACTCTGACAGCAGTACCAAGGGCATTTAAGGACACGGTATCCTCCCTAACATTAACAGCTGAGGTTTTGGGGGAAGGCCTTGAAACCTCCTGGTTTCATTAACTAGTTGAATTCTATTTTCAATCCAGACCATTTTTGGGGAAACAGGAATCCTTTTATCTAGAGTACAGAGTCCCGTCTCCATTTCCTACTGCTGTCTGGCCTTGGACCATCATTTACCTTTCGAGAGCTTTTCAATTTAATTTCTGTCCTCTCTGAACCTCAGCATTGTGAGGACTCAATTAGACTGTCTATGCGAAGCTCATAAGACCAGATACGATCACACAGGGCTTATTACTCACATAAGGTCTTTTCTGGGAAAGGCACAGTGAGGAATAGATCAGAACATAAGTGATGAGTTTGAAGTGCCATTGTTGATGATGGGGGTGGTGGTGGCAAGATATGATGGCACAAGGATTGTAGAAATACTGGGATTATGAAGCACTTATCTCATTTCAGGAACCTCATTGTTCATCTAAGGACATGCCAATGTGCTGTCATACCTTTCCTGCCCTCTGTTTTCCACAGGGCACATGACTTGGATGCTTGGGTGTGAATTGAACATGCCAGCTGTTGCAACTGTGTCACAAAACACTGTTGCTAGGTGACTGTTCTGTGGTCTAGAGAGGAGAAAGTAATGTTCTTCAAGAGATACCTTTGACTCACATGGGAGAAGCAAGGTGACAATCAGGAACATGAGACTGATGGGCCCATGCCTCATTCTCGTATTTACAAATGGCCTTCCCAAGTCTGCTCCCCTTGTCAGGATAGAAAGGCAGGCAGGATGCCGTCCTTCACCATTCCTGAGCTTGGAGAATTCCTGGCCTCAAGAGGTCTCAGGGATACCTGCTATTTGGTTTGAAGTAGTATTTATGCTATTCTCCTGGGACCACTTTGCTGTAGATGGAGCTCTTCTTGGATGCTTCAGAGGAGATATCTGTCAGCAGGCACTATATTTGTGTGTGTGTGTGTGTGTGTCTAAGTCTAGACAGGAAGAAAGCAGGCCATGACTTAGTTTTCTGAAGCCCTACCTCTTGGCAGGCTCACACTATGGTGAGAAAAGTCCATTAGCTCATGTAACAACACCCAGGTGACTCGTGACTCAGTGGGTCATGGACTTTCAAGTTTTTCTCTATCTTTTCCTTCTGCATCCTGGGTTTGTTGGCTTTATCCCTTAGGCTTGGCCCCAAGATAGCTGCCATGGTTTTGGGTACAAACATGCCACATCTCTTGGGAATCATCGAAGAAACATTTCCCCAAAGCCCCCTGGAGACATCCCCTCATATTCTACTGGCAAGGGGTGGGTTAAGTGACCACCTTAGACTGATCATAACTTGCTCCTGCATGCCATGGAAGAGGAGACCTTGGACCAGACTGGTTCTCCCAACAAGGAGAGCTAGATTTGGTACTTGTACACGAGCCACTAAGAATGTCTGTATCTGGGAGTCTTTATTCTTGGGTGCCCTGGGCAACTGTTTAACAGATAGAGCATCTTCATGGGCTCCAGGTCATATAGCTCTAGTTTTAGGTGAACCGAAGGCTTGGGTGTGCCTTGGAGGCAAGGACCATGTGTTACACTTTGGCCTCTGGACCGTAGCTCTTCTTGTTCCTAGCACAGTGCTGGACACACAGGAAGCATACAACTAGTGCTTATTATTAACAATAAGAGTAATCACTTCTGGGAGCCAGTGGCTCACATCTGTAATCCTAGCTACTCAGGAGGCAGAGATCAGGAGGATTGCAATTTGAAGCCAGTTCTGGGTAAATAGTTCATGAGACTCTATCTTGAAAATACCCAACACAAAACAGGGCTGGTGGAATGGACCAACTGGGAGAGAGCAAACCTGAGGCCTGGAGTTAAAAAGAATATCACCATGTTTACTAGATATTTGTGATGCACTGGGCTGTCTAAGAGTTTTGTATATATTCTCATAACAAGCATGCGATGTAGACATGCTCATGTAAGGATGAGAAGAGCAACTAAATTATAAGATCTCTGAGCCCATGGTGGGGATGATAGTTGCCTCCTTGCAGGGTGATACTGCTCTACATGGGACCAAAGGGGAGTGGTGTTAGTGCTCCGAGCTCAGGTCCATCTATAGGAGAATTCACAGATAAGTCTCAGAGAAGCTGGATAAACTGAGCAAGGTACCCAGCTAATGGGTTGAGGAGCAGAGGGCCCTTATGAATCCAGTGCAACCCTAAGGCTTTATGCTTTTGACTCTTAAGTGGTGTTGCTTCCCAATTGTGTTATTGAGCAACTGGATGAATGACCAGAGGGTGGTGGTATAGGGGCTTAGAGAGTTACTGGAGAGATCCTCTCCTTCCTAGAATGCTTATGTCATCTTTGACAACCCGTGGATGAAAGAGAGCATTACCTATGGTGATGATAGACAGACCTAGATAGAACTGAGCTCTAAGCACTAGCACCACTCCCCTTTGGCCCTGCACAGAGCAGTATCACTTGTAGAGAAGCCAGAAGGGGTAGCTGTCACCCCAGGTCCATCCCCACCATGGGCTCAGTGATCTTGTGGTTTAGCTGCTCTTCTTGTCCTTATATGCACTGTCATGGAACTGACCATCCTGGTTGTCCTCTCCTGGGCACTTCACTGTTTGCCAACGTGCCCCTTGCTCTTTGATAATCTTAAGTGCGCACAAGCTCCATTGGCTTGAATTGCTCCATGCCCCTTGAAACCCCATGCCTGTGCCCAGTCTTCTGGGCATCTCCTCTTTCAGCAGCTATACAGACCATGAGTCAGAAGTGTGTCTTCAGCCCCTGAAAGCATGAGGGAGGCCTCTACGTGGGTTCAATGTGTGTATGAGTAGGAGCTCTTCACGTGGTTTCCCCCAAGGGTGAATGTAGTCCCAGCTACACAAAGCACACTTTGGGATGGCAGCAGAAAGGTATCCAGTGTATATGAAAGGAAGCCTAGTTTGTGAAAAAAGAATTAGTGTGCAGTCTAGCACCTGCCCGTTTAATTCCCAGCCTGATCCTGCATGGAACATATAATTCTCACTTTACTAATGAGGAAACTGTAGCTCAGAGAGGTTGGTAACTGGACTAGTGTTACACAGGTATGCTGAGGTGTGTGTCTCACTTTCCTTACCTGTAAGATGATAAAACCCTGTTTCTCTCTGCAGAGGGCCATCCGTGTGCGCAGTCATTCTATGGAGACCATGGTTGGCAGCCAGAGGAAACTGCATAGTGGGAGCATTCCTGGCAGCCTCAGCGGGGGCATCATCCACAACAGCATGGAGGTCACCAAGACCACCTTCTCGGTGAATGCAGCAGGCCCTGGGCCAGCACATGGAGCCAGCAGAGGGTCTCCCCAAAACTTATGCAGGAAGTGTGTCCCCACCCAGGCTTGGACTAGGCAACTTGAGAAGGCCAAACTGCATGATAGAGGAGTCTGAGTCTGCTTGGGGGATGACTCAGCCTTTGTGAAAATGGTCTTTTTTCTTTTTTTTTATGGTGGTACTGGAGTTGGAACCCAAGATCTTGTGCTTGCTAGTCAGGTGCTCTACCTCCCGCGCCACATCCCAGCCCCTGAAAATGGTCTTCTGGAGCCTCCATCCCAAGTGGCACCTGAGGTTGGCCTGAATTAGAAATCCACTTGTCCTTTTCTCTGAATTTCCTTGACAACCAGGTCTCCTCCTTTGGGCCTTCCCTGCAAAATGTTCCTGGGGTACATTTCCCTGCCCATGACAGGGAGAGAGGTATCCTAATCCAGCTGAAGATGTGGATTTGAATGCAGGTCTGCCTGACCTAAATTTTATTCTCTTCATCACAGTGTGTGCAGTTCCCAAGGAGAGAGGGCCCTATAGGTCTGTGAGCTTGGACCTGATCGACTTGCACCAGGGGCTGGGAAGGCAAAGGAATCACATAGCTGGTTCATTTATAAGGCAAAGTAACTTTGGACTTGGATTTCCTGAGTAACAGAAAAATTTCAGTAACAGAACAGACTCATCATTATACTAATGATTTTTATTATAAATGGCCTTGCACAACTATTTCAATTTTCCAAATATTTTCATACCTATTGTCTTATTCCTCCCAGAAGGCCCATGAAGTAAGTAGAGCAGGGAAATTTTCTCCATTCTGTGGACAAGGAGACAGGCTCAGAGAGCTTTGCCATTTATCCAAGGTTGCATAGCACATGAATGAGGCCTGGGATAGAGGCCTACTTAGCAGGCTCTAAAGATTGGCTCCAGGCTCCCACCTCTCCTTTCTCAAATTTTTACCTTTCTGTTGTCTTCCTGTAAGGCTAGGTGAGTGTTCAAAGCAGAAACCCTGGCCAGCTTCCCGCTGCCCATTAGTGGATGTGGATCTAACTCAACAGCTCTCATTCTTTGTGACTCCTGCCTGCATCCATTTATTCATGAGCAATGAGCGAGAGTCAGGAGCCCTGTGTTCTTGTCCTCATCCTGCCAGCGATATGCAGTTGACCTTAATAAAATCTTGCGCTCTGGTTCTCAGCTGCTTTGTTGGTGAAATGAAAGGTTGAAGCAGGTAACTCCAGGGGCTCTCTAGCTTTGTGGTTCTTAGTCTGTGACCCCTAAACCACCCCAGCCTTCTCAACATACAGTTTCCCCTCTGGTGGCCCTGAGCCTGTGGTCCTCTAAGAGTCTGGTCTTTGTTGCATTGTTACCTGGGGTCAAAGGCTTGGCTTAAGAACACAGGAAAGAGGCTCTGAGTGACTCGCATGTCAGGGTCTCAGCTCCTTTCTGTTTTCTGTTCCTCCGACCCCAGACCAGGAGCTGTGTGGTGACCAGAGATGGGGAGGGAAGGAGATGTGGGTCTGGGGTGTATGTACTCACTTTGGTGGTTTCATTGGCAGCCTCCAGTAGCGGCAGCGACGGTGAAGAACCAGTCACGGAGCCCCATCAAGCGGAGGTCAGGCCTCTTCCCCCGCCTGCACACGGGCTCTGAAGGCCAGGGGGACAGCCGGACACGATGGTAACTGTCAGGGCCCCAAACCTACCAACTGAGTGGTCTGTCACCTCTGTCCTTCTTGACAGCTGTCAGGTGCACAACCATGGGGAGAGCTTTGCTCAGCATTGGGAGATGGCTTCTCTCCAGCCTCCGCTTCAGGTACCCACACCTCTCATCAGTCACTCAGCTCGTTATCTGCTGAGTCCAGTTTGGTCATTCCCAGTATGAAACTCCAAAGTTGTTTTGCAGCAATTTGACCCAGGCTAGAAGCATTGCTTGGGTTCTTGTCTTTCTTTGCCTTCTGTTTCAATGCTCACTCAAATATCCATCCCCTTCCCTGCTTTTTTTTGTGGTGCTGGGAATGGAACCTAGGGTCTTATGCATGCTAAGCAAGTGCTCTACTACTGAGCTATACTCCCAGCCCCAAATGTCCTCTCTCATGGAAGCCTTCCCTGATTCTGCCAGGAAGAGTTAATTGAACCTTCTTATGGAATTCTAGAATGGTCTATGGTTTTCTTTTTAGCAACTCTTGTATCATATTTAATCTGTCTTTACTACTTGCCTTTCTGATTGATGAGCCCATTTGCTCTTTAATTTAGCAAACAGTGTTTATAGAGTGCCTGCCATGGCTGGGCATAGTGCTGACTGCTTAGATGAGTGCTCCCAAAGCCATAATCTGCCCTCTAGAAGCTCTCAGTCCTGCGAGGGAAAGGAGGACATTTAGGTTGACTTTCAGGTTTTCAAGCTCTCTGCCTATAGCCTTGGGTGGTGGTATCATCCCCTGAGCTAGGGCATGTAGTCAGGTGTGGTGGTGCCTACCTGCTAATGGAGGAGGATGAAAAGCTGTGTTTGGAACTTGCTCATGGTAGTCTCATGGGCCACCCAGAGAGATGTCCGGTTCTTGGATTTTGGAGAGGCCTTGACTAGAGAAGAAAAGTTAGGAAGGGTTGGGATAGAGGTGCTGCCTAAAGACAGCTGAATGAATGAATAGGTGAAGTCCCAGTGTTCAAGGGCAAGTGGAGGACCAATAGCTGATGAAGACAGCTGGGAAGGAAGAGAAGATAGGCTGCAAAGGGCCGGAAGAAATTCCATTCGTGTCAGATGTGCAGGCAAGTCCAGCACAGGTTCCAACCCTTATGTAGGTTGACAGTGAGGAGATCACTAGCAACCTCATCAAAAGTGCATGGAGGCCCTTAGCACCTCTAGGGTGGCTATGATCAAAAAGACTAATAATAACAAGTGTTAGAGAAGATGTGGAGACATTGGAGCCCTTGTTCATTGCTGGTGGGAATGTAAAACAATACAAAATGTTTTAGAAAACAGTCTTGCAGGTCTTCAGAGGACTAAACAGTTACCATAAGACCAAAGCAATTCTACCCCTAGGTATATGAATTGAAAAGCAATTATCCAGAAAAAAGCCAGTACAGCTAGTTAATAGATGTTCATTACAGAGCTATTCATTGTAGACCAAAGTAAAAACATCACTTGATGACTCGATAAATAAAATGTAGTCCATCCATCAAATGAAATATTGTTTTGCAATAGAAAAGGACTGAGGTACTGATGTATGCTACAACACAGGTGAACTTTGAGAGCATTATGCTAGTGAAAGAACCCAGTGCAAAGGCTACAACATGTATGTGTGTATATATATATGTATATATAATGTCCAGACTAGGCAAGCCCATAGGGAATTGGGACATGGGCAGTGATTGCAAATGGGACCAGGGTTTCTTTTAAGAGGTCTAAAAATGTTCTAAAATTAGATTGTGATGAATGGTTACACAATTCTGTGAATATACTAAAAGCCATTAAATGTTCACATAAATAGAAGATGGTTATGTGTATTATATCTTAATAATGCTGTTATAAAAAAGTGTATTGAGGGCAGAGCCATCATGTCCCCAACAGCTGGCACAGGATAAATGGTGGGCACTGGTACATGGTCTTAGACTCTGGGGCTGAGAGTAGTGCTTTGTTCCCCAGCACCCAGAGCTGCCTTGTCATGTGGATCAGAGAGTTTGTATCATAATCTATATGTAGGAGTCCCCCAGAGTCATACAGTGGGTGGGTCTCCTGGCACCTTCCAGAGATCTCTGTATGTTGAATTGTCTCCTGCACAGACCCCTCTCCATTCCCTGTGGGGCCCTCTTTTGGCCCATTCCTTTGCTGCTTGGGTGAAGGGTAGAATTTAGCTAGAAGCTATCAAGCAGGGCTCCAGTTTGATGGCTCTGGGCTGTCACCTATGAACCTAGAGTAGCCTTTATTTTAAGGAACAGCAAATTCTGCTGTCTACTGCAGTCTCAGGGCTCCATTAGGAAAGGAAGTGCTGGCAGCCATGCTTTGTGGGGGCCCCTGGACCCTGCAGTCAGGGTTCTGATTCAGGCCTGGGGTGGACCTGGCACTTTGGAGCTACCTCTAGGACCTCACACTTCATTTCCCTTTCCTCAGTGACAGTGCCTCCAGCATCCCCAAGACACCAGATGGTGGACAATCTTCTCAGGAGATAAAGTCTGAGACCTCATCCAATCCCAGCTCTCCGGAAATCTGCCCCAACAAAGAGAAGTAAGAGAGTTAGAGGGAGAGAAAGGATGGTTTTTGTCATTTTGAGTCCTGGAATGTGCTCTTTATGCCTCCAGGCAAGCTGAGAGTGACATCTCTTGCCTCTGGAACACAAAGCCCAGCAGGCAGGGGAGCCACTGTGGGCAAGCTCAGATCTCCACTGCCTGAGGAGGGCCCAGGGGCCGAGGGGGTCTTGTATCATGTGACTAAGACTCACCTTGCTTCCTGTTCCCTGCAGGCCCTTCATAAAGTTGAAGGAGAACGGCCGTGCCAACATCTCCCGTTCCTCCTCCAGTACCAGCAGCTTCAGTAGCACCGCAGGAGAGGGCGAGGCCATAGAGGAGTGTGACAGTGGGGTAGGTGTGCCCTGTCCAACTTGGGGATGGCACTCTGAGGTCCAGGTAACCACACTCTTGTATTTTAAAATTGCACTCTGGGCAAGAGGTAGCCCGGGCAGTTGTTACCACTTGCTGGGAGCATTGACTGAGCAGGGCTCTCTCTGGGCATGACAGCAGCAATAGAAGGACAGGGCCAGGCTGGATGGTGTCCCTGCCATGGGGACCCTAGCTGGAGAGAAGCGAGGTCAGGGTCCCATGGAATTGGGTCAAGGGCCTTCTTGGAGGGACCCTGGAGCCAGGGTTGAAGCACCAGAAGGAAAGAGCAGGCCCAAGTAGGATGTCTAGAGAGGTCCTTTTGGGCATGGGACCCTTGTGGTACACTGGGCTCACTCACCTGGCCTCTCTCCCCAGAGCAGCCAGCCATCCACAACCTCACCCTTCAAGCAGGAGGTGTTTGTCTACAGCCCGTCCCCAAGCAGCGAGAGCCCCAGCCTGGGGGCTGTTGCCACCCCCATCATCATGAGCCGGAGTCCCACAGGTCAGTGGTAGCTGGGAGGGTGGGGCTAGGCCTCACCATGTGCCTAGGCATGCTAAACTGGCCATTTTCCTTTCCTGCTCTGAGATGTTAGGCCCTTCAGCTCTGTTGGCTCACTCCATCTGTCCACCAACCTTAATCTATATTCTGATCTTCTCCCTACATATGGGAAAACTGTGACTCAGAAAATTGAGTGGTTTGTTGGAGATCCCGTACTGGAGGAGTTAGATAGCTGAATACTTTCTGCTTGATCCTCCCTATCACATACCCAGGGCTGTCCCTCATAGCCATGATCCTGACCATACGAGGGTAAGAAGGCATAGCATGGGAAAGGCTGGAGGGATGAGAGGCACAGTGTTTTGGAATCTCACAATATTTTGTGCAGCTGGAGTCCTGGAAGGTGTGAGAGAGGAGAGAGGCTAGAGCGACAATAAGCCAGCTGCCCAAAGACGCTGGTGAGGGTTTGGGGCATTATCTTGCTGGCAGTGGAAGCCTTTGGAGACTTAAGTAAAGAAATATCACCTGAGGAACTGGTGTGGACTGGAGCAGGGCTGGATACCTGCAGGGGCACAGCAGGGAGGCAAGAGGAGTTGGGGCCACAGGAGAGGATCTTAAGGATGTAGAATCTACTGGGCTTGGTAATGGAGGTTCAGTGGAGGTTCTTGGCCTTTCAGGGTTCTGGGATCCCTCTAGTTGGTAGAATAAAGGCCCTGTCTACCCACTGGCGGTCACTGTGGGTACCCAGGAATTAAAACCCCGGTCTCACTCTCAAGGAGGAGAGCGTAGCATGGGGCAAGCACAGGACTCTGGAGCCTGCCTCTGAATCTTGTATCTGCCACTCACTGGTGACGTGACATTGGGCGAGTTACTGAGCCTTTTGTGCCTCAGCCAGCTATGAAGGGAAGAGGATAGTAGTTTCTACCTCATAAGGTTGGTTGTGTGAATATTTACTGAGCTTATGCTTGTAAGAGGCATAGAACCATTAGCCTAAGTGCCTGTGAAATAACTAGAATAAAACAATAGTGTGATCAGTGGTTCTTACCTGGGGGGAAGGTCTTGCTCCTTAGGGGACCTTTGCTATGTCTGAAGATACTTTGGGATTTCACAATTGATGGGGGAGTCCTAATAGCATTCATGGGTGGAGGTTAGGGATGTTGCTAAAAATGCCCACTTCCCTCCACAAAGAATTATATGGCCCCAAATGTCAATAGCTTGAGAACTTTAGTTTCCTTTACCCCCCCACCCCTATTTTTCAACAGCTTTCAATCATAACCTTATATCTTCTACCTTCACATTGTATGGTATGTGATATTACTGATGCTCTGTCATTCTCTTTTCCTTTCCCTCTTCCCCTGAGTTCCGTAGAGTAGTTCCACTATTACAAACATGTTCTACTTCTGCGTTTGTATATGATCAGTCTTGTTTTTGTGTATATGTTTATCTTTGGATCTATCTTCCACATATGAAAGAAAGCATGCATCTTTTGTGTTTCTAATCCTGGCTAACTTCACTTAACATGATGTCCTCCAATTGCATCCATTTACCTTCAAACCACATGTCATTATTCCTTGTGGCTGAGTAATATTCCATTGTGTCTATATACCACAATTCATTGACCCATTCCTCAGTTGTAGAGTATCTGGGTTGTTTCCAGAGCTTGGCTATTGTGAATAGTGTTGTGATAAACATCGGTGTACAGGTGTCTCTATTGTATCCTGTCTTATGTTCTTTTGGGTAGATGCCCAGGAGCAGTATCACTGGGTCATATAGCAGTTCTATCTCTAGTTTTTTTGAGGAATCTCCATATTGCTTTCCATAGTGGTTATACTAATTTGCATTCCCACCAGCAGTGTATAAGGATTCCTGCTTCACCACATCCTCGCCAGCATTTGTTGTTATTACTCTTGACTATGGCCATTCTGACTGGGATGAGATGAAATCTAAGTGTTGTTTTGATTTGCATCTCTTTTATAAGCAGGGAAGTTGAACACTTCTTCATGTATTTTTACTGGCCATTTGTACCTCTTTCTTTGAGAATTTTCTGTTTAATTCATGTGTGCCTTTCTTTATTGGGAAGTTGATTCTTTGGGGGCTAACTTTTTTGAGTTCCCTGTAGATTGTGGATATTAGGCTCTTATTGGATGAGTAGCTGGCAAAGATTTTCTACCATTCTGTGGTCAGTCTCTTGAGTCTGGTGACTGTTTCCTTTGCTGTACAGAAGCTCTTTAGTTTGATGCAATCCCATTTGTTCATTGTTTCTCCTAGATGCTGAGCCTTTTGAGTTCTGTTTAGGAAGTTGTTCCCTACTCCTATTGGTTTCAGTGTATTTTCTACTGCTTCTTGGAGTTGTTTTGAAGTGTCAGTCCTTATATTTTTTATTTATTTTATATTATATTGAAGTCTTTGATCCACTTTGAGTTGATTTTGGTACAGGGTGAAAGGCAGGGATCTAATTTCAGTCTTCAGCATGTGGATATCCATTTTTCCCAGCAGCATTTGTTGAAGATGCTGTCTTCTCCATCGTGTGCTTTGGGCTCCTTTGTCGAAGATCAGTTGGCTATAGATGCATGAGTTTATGTCTGGATCTGTTGGCCTTCCTGTCTGTTTTAGTGCCAATACCATGCTGTTTTTATTGTTATGGCTCTGTAATATAGTTTGAGGTCGGGTATTGTGATGCCTCCAGCATTGGCCTTTTTGCTCAGAATTCCTTTGGCTATTTGAGGTCTTTTGTGCTTCTGTATCTATTTCACAATTATTTTTTCTATTTCTGTGCAGAATGTCATTGGAATTTTTCATGGGAATTGCATTGAACATGTGGATTGCTTTTGGTAGCATGGTCATTTTCATGTTGATTCTACCAATCCATGAGCCTGGAAGGTCTTTCCATCTTCTGATGTCTTCTGCAATGGTTTATAGTTTTCATTAAAAAGGTCTTTGGTTTCTTTCATTAAATTTATTCCGAGGCACTTTATTGTTTTTGAGGCTACTGTAAATGGAATTGTTTCCCTTATTTCTTTCTCAGTCTGTGCATTGTTGGTATATAGAAAAGCTTCTGATTTCTATATGTTTATTTTGTATCCTGCTACTTTGCTGAAAGAGTTAATGATTTCTAATAGTTTTTTGGTAGAGTTTTTGGGGTCTTTTAGGTATAGGATTGTGTCATCTGCAAATAGGGATAGTTTGTTTTCAGAGCTTTTATCATGAAAGGGTGTTCGATTTTGTCAAAGGCTTTTTCTACCTCTTTTGAGAGGATCATATGGTTTTTGTTCTTGCTTCTGTTTATATGCTGTATTATGTTTATGAATTAACATATGTTGAACAATCCTTGCATCCCTGGAATGAAACTGACCTGGTCATGGTATGTGATATTTTTGATGTTGTTGAATTCTGTTTGCCAGTATTTTGTTGCGAATCTTTGCATCTATATTTATTAAAGATGTTGGTCTATAATTTTCTTTTCTGGTTATATCTTTATTGGGTTTTAGAATGAGTATAATGCTGGCTTTATAGAATGAGTGTTCCTTTCCTTCCTAGTTCCTGGAAAAGTTTCAGGAGTATTGGTGTTAGCTCTTCTTTAAAGGTTTGGTAAAATTAGGCCATGAATCCATCAGGTCCTGGGATTTTTGTAGGGAGACTCTTCATTACTATTTAAATTTCATTGCATGTAATAGGACTATTTAGGTGGTTAATATCTTCTTGGTTCAATTTTGGCTGGATATATGCATCTAGGAATTTCTCCATTTCTTCTAGATTTTCCAGTTTACTTGAATATAAGTTTTCAAAGTACTCTCTCATGATTCTCTGGATTTTGTTAGTATTTGTGTTTATGTCCCCCTTTTCATCTCTGATTTTATTAATCTGGGTCTTTCTCTCCTCTGTTTTGTCATGTTGGCTAAGGGTTTGTCTATCTTATTAATCTTTTCAAGGAACCAACTTTTTGTTTCATTAATTTTTTTTTGTGTAGTTTCTTTGGTTTGATCTCATTGATCTTGGTCCTGATCTTTATTATTTCTCTCTGTCAGCTGGTTTTGGGTTTGGCTTTTTTCCTTTTTTAAAAAAATTTTTTATTCATTTACTCACATGTACATACATTGTTTGGGCCATTCCTCCCCTCTACCCCCTGCCTCCTTCCTGGTTTTTTCTTTTTTTCCTAGGAGCTTAAGGTGCATCTTTTTTTCCTAGGAGCTTAAGGAGCTTAGATTGTTCATTTGAGAGGTCTGTTTTTTTTTTTAAATTAGGCACTTATAGCTATAAAATTTCCCCTTTAGCATGGCCTTAGTTGTGTCCCACAGATTCTGGTAGATTGTATTTTCATTTTCATTGGATTCTAGGAACTTTTTGATTTCTTCCCTTATTACTTTGGTCACCCATTGGTTTTTCAGCTTGTGTTGTTCAGTCTCCATGTGTTTGAATATTTTCTGGGGTTTCTTTTGTTGTTGAGGTCTAGTGTTATTCTGTTGTGATCTGATATGATGGCAGGGGTTATTTTGATTTTCTTGAATTTGTTGAGATTTGCTTTGTATTCTAAACTATGATATATTTTGGAGAAAGTTCCATGAGCTGCAGAAAAGAAGGTGTATTGCCTAGTTGTTGGGTGAAATACTCTGTAGATATCAGCCATGTCTAATGTGTGGAGTAGCTCTGAAGTTCCTTTGTTACTCTTTTGTCTGGATGACCTATGTTAATACATAGGTGAGAGTAGGGTATTCAGGTCTCCCACTGTCACTGTGTTAGCATCTATCTGTGTTCTTAGGTCCATTAGAGGGTTTTTTTTTCATATAGATGGGTGCCCCTGTGTTTTGTGCATATATGTTAAGGATTGATATTTCCTCTTGATGAATTGTTCCTTTCATTAATATGAAGTGACCTTCATTGTCTCTTCTGATTCGTTTTAGTCTGAAGTCTATTTTGTCAGATATGAGTAAGTCTGATCCTGACTGTTTATGGGGTTCATTTGCTTGGAAAAATTTTTTCCACCCTTTGACTCTAAGTCAGTGTTTATTTTTGTCAGTAAGATGAGTTTCTTATAAGCAACATATAGTTTGGTCTTGTTTTTTTAACCCAATTTGCTATTCTACGTCTTTTAATTGGGTTATTGAGGCCATTTGCATTCAGTGTTAAAATTAAGAGATGCCTATTGTTTCCAGTCATTTTTATTCCCCTGTTGTTTAGTTTTACCTATTCCTTGTTTACTGCTCTGCTTGCTCAAGAGGGTTTATTTTCTTGAGTCTTCCTGTCTCACTCTAGTTTCTTCTTCTATATGTAAAAGTCCTTTAAGTAACCTCTGTAGTTCTGGCTTGGTAGATACAAATTCCTTTAGTTTTGTCTTGTTATGGAAGGTTTTAATTTCTTCTTCAATTAGGAAGGATAGTTTTGCTGGGTAGACTAGTCTAGGTTGATGGTTGCTTTCTTTCAGGGCCTGAATTATGTCTTTTCATGACTTTCTTGCATTTAGAGTTTGAGTTGAGAAATCTGCTGTTATTCTAGTACTTTTATATGTGACCTGTCTTCTGTCTTTTGCCGCTTTCAGAATTCTTTCTTTATTCATTTTGCTGAATGTTTTGATTATGATGTATCTGGGGGTGTTTCTTTTTTGGTCCTGACAGTTTGGTCTTCTGTAAGCCTCCTGCACCTGTGTGACTCTCTCTTTCTCGAGGTTAGGGAAGTTTTCAGCTATTATTCTATTGAATAGGTTGTCAAAGCCTTTAGTGTGTATATTCTCTCCTTCTTGTACACCCATGATTCGTAGGTTTGGTCTTTTCATGGTGTCCCAGAAATCTTGCATGTTCCATTCATATTTTCTTCTCATTCTTTCATGGTCTTTTACTGTTTCATCTAATTCCTCTACTTTGTCTTCCTTTCCTGATCCTCTATTTTCAACTTGTTTCACTCTGTTCACCAAGCTTTCAGTTGAGATATTTATTTGGGATATTGAGTTTTTTTTGGTATTGATTACTTTTCGGGGTTTCCATATCTTTATTGATTTCCTCTTTTTTATCTTGGATAGTCTTCTTAATTTCATTCATCTGTTTGTATTCTCTTTGAGCTCATTTAATTGTTTGTGTCCTCTTTGAGGTCTTTTATATTTCTTCTTTGAGGTCCTTAATCATTTTTATTATTATTTTTTTCTGAATTTACTATTTGATAGCTCTTCCTCTATGCAGGTGTTTAGCTCCTTAGTGGTAGAGTTGGCTTTTCATGGAAAGTGGCTGTCTTTCTGTTTCATTCTGCATTGAGATTTATGCAGCTGGAATTGCTTTTGGTTAGGGTTTTAATTCCTTGGGCCCCTGTATTTGGGGTTTGAGTTTTTTCTTCTGGAGCTCCAGCAGTATTCCTCAGAGAGGGTTATGCTGTGTGTGTTGCCCCTTGGAAGGTTCTTGTTGTATTGCAGATTACCTCTTTTTTCCCCTCTGTGAACGGGCTGGAGTCCCTGCTCTTTGATGGGAGCTGCAGTGCTCTCCTGCAGTCACAGTGGGAAGCACTTGGTCTCTGTGCACTGTGGGGGGCAGGCCTCCTACCACCAGCAGAGTAGTGGGTTGCCACTTCGCAGAGGAGGTGGGATTCCAGCTCTTGGACAGCAGAGGCGTGGTTCTCTTGCAGGGAAGCGCAGTGTGAAATGCTGATCTTCTGTGTACCTTGGGGAAACAGGGCTTCTGATGCCACCTGCAGAGTGGCAAGTTATAGCTTACCTCCCCTCATTGGGGAACCTGGCATTCTCTCTCTTTGACCAAGGAGTGAGGGCTCTCTTGCTGTCAGAGACAGTGGGGAGTGGTGGTCCTCCATGCTCTGTGGGGATGGAAGCCCCCTGGTGCCAGAAGAATAACAAAGCCTAGGGCCTGGGGTTCACTTAGGTATGTGGTAGTGGGCTCCCGGCACTGACTAGCAAGTTGAGGGTACCTGTGGGGCAGCAAAGCCAGCAAGCTTGAATCATGTGGTACCCACCAGCAGTGGAGGCCCTGGAGTCTACTTGCATTGCGGTGTGGATTTCCAGGAGCCATGGCAGCTGCTGCAGGCAAGGGGGAATCAAGCCTTTAGGCAGCAGGAGTTCTGGGGCCTGCTTTCCAGGTGTGGGCTCCAGGAGAGCAGTGCAGTGGGGGGAGCCAAGCTTTCGGGTAGCAGGAGCCCTGGGGCCTACTTCCTGGCACAGGCTACCAGGAGCCACGGTAGCTGCTGCTTGCTTGGGGGAACCAAGCCTGCAGGCGGTGGGAGTTCTGGGGCCTGATTGTCAGCCAGGGCTTCCAGGAGCACAGTCTACTGCTTCTGCTGCCAGCTTGGGAGAACCAAGTCTGCTGGCTTGTGAGTTCTGTTACCTGTGGAGCAGCAGAGCCGTTGACCCTTCTTACACAGGGGTGCTGATTTCCCTGGCATTTCAGGGTGAAGGTAGCAGATTGTGTAGTGGGGGGAGTGTAGAGAGTTCCTGTGTGTGTTGGAAAGCAGGACTTACTACTGCCAATCACACAGAGAAATGGAGCCTTGAGTCACATCGAAACTTCAGGGCCAGGGATCGGGAGTGTTGAGCTGCATACTGTTCTTCCCATTCTTCCCATGGTTAGTTGCTTCTCTATTTGCAGATTCAGAGAGGGCTTTGCTTCTTGCTGGTTATAGGACCCTGTGCCTTTTGGGGTCCTCTGATCTTCCTTTTTCAAGGTGGTTAGTTGCTGCTGTGCTATAGGGTGTCAACAATCTGCCATCTTGCACCTCTATCAGAAAATAGTTTTCAAATAATGGAAGAATATTTATTGTGTTTATACTGCTGCTCACAATGTAATGGCTGCAGGCACGACACATTCTCAAGTTTAAAAAATATTCTTTTCTCCGTTTCTTAAGAGTCTAGACAACAAAACACTAGATTTGTAGTTTACCAATTTTGATGGTGTAAATGCTCGTATTGTGGTGGATATCAAGCTTCCACCCCACTGTGACGTCTCTGAGCACAGGGTTGCAAAGAGATGCACAATCCCCCACCATAGTGTGTTTTCGCTAGATGGATATAACAGATGTGGAAACACAAATAATAGTGTGACATGGTAAAATAATGAGGAAACGATGAATTGTATTTATTACCTTTGTTGAAGCTTGTATAATTTAATTTTTTAAATGACCTGAGTTTAACAGCTGGCCCATGACATTTCTAAAGGTTTAGATGTTACCTTTGGTGAGTGGGTACTGGTCAGCCAGTGTGTCTTGAGGAGAGGCAGAGACCCCTTTCTCTTGGTCTCCCCGTCTGGTGCTCACAATTCAGATGGAATGACTTGTATTGCTTTACCTCTTTTTCATGGCATTCTTCTTTTCGTAGATGCCAAAAGCAGAAACTCCCCGAGGTCAAACCTGAAATTCCGCTTTGATAAGCTCAGCCATGCCAGCTCCAGTGCGGTAAGAATCTGTTGTGGGGGCAGCATGGGAAGACCCATGAACCACATTCTAGGCTCCTCCAAAAGCCAGCTTGCTTTCTTATGGACTAGAGGAAGCGTGCATCTCAGATATTATATGGGGAAAAAAGTTCTGGCCAGATTTGGGGGTAATACTGTCTGTCCCCACATGGTGCAGCAGGGGCTTGCAGCCACCTTTGCTACTTCTTCCATGTTAGAGCCATACCCTTGGACACAGCCATGGCCAGATGTGAGTTGTGATCTGTTGGCTCCTGGGGCCCTGGGTCCCTTCCTGAGCTCACCAGATTTTTGAAAGCTGAGTGTGCAGAAGCTGCTGGTGGAGTCAACTGCTGTCTGCTTTTTAAAACTCTTGTATGGATGTTTCTTGAAACAGGGCCACTAATGTGAAAGAGGAGTCCTTCCCCTGTCTAAGGTGAGTGAGTGAGTATTTGGGGTGGCCAAGAGGGGAGTGTGCTCTTTTAAGATCAGGGTGGCACTGGCCTTGTGACCAGAGAATGGCCAGGGAGTCTTTGCCAGCTGGGGAGATTACACAGTGACAGCATCCCTGAAACCTCTATAATAAGCATCCAGATTTGTAAAGGGAAGAAGGGACAGATTCCTTTGTGTGGATGAGAAGACAGTACATTAACACCACTCCCATGGAGTCTGATTCCAGAAGGCAAGGGGGGAATTCCTCAGTTTACCCCTTTGTTTCCCTGATGTTTCGCAGCCTATTCCTTCTTGTGTGTTTGACAAGACTTGAAGTTAGGATGTATCCTCTCTGCATGTGAAGAGATGCCTCTGCCCTCTAAACACTGAGGGACAGCCTCCAGTGAATCTCTGCTCCCAGTCTCTGCCCAGTGGGCATATAGCCTCAGCAGAACAGGGCATGAGTCAACTTCCCACCATTAAGACCTGAACTCCTGGGCTGGAGGTGTGGCTCAAGTGGTAGAGCACCTGCCTAACAAGTATGAAGCCCTGAGTTCAAACTCCGGTACTGCCAAAAAAAAAA